AGATTTTCACTGTAGGGCGCGTGCGCTCGCCAGACAGACAGAGAGAGACATAGAGACAGAAAGCGAGAAATCTCCCCCCAGAGGGGATGGTCACGCCGCAATCCCTTCTCCTCCATTCTCCTCTCGGGATCTTGGGCACGCACGCACACGCACCCGGCGTGAGTTTTAAGCCACCGGGTCCGGGACACGAACCGCGGTCGACTACATGGGAGTCCAGCGACATAGCCATTACGCTAACTGCTGGTTCCCAATTGGGTAATAGAGTTTTGTTCCTTTTTTTTTTTCCCTTAGAGATCAGCTGCACTGAGAAGAGGCATGACTTATTTCATCCAGTGCTTGCTCAGCTCGCATCTGCCCACACTCTTCAATGGCCACAACTGCTTTCCCAGCCCTGGGAAGAAGATGGGAAATTCAGGAATTGGAGGAAGGCATTCCAAAATATAGAGGCTGTCAAAGCAGGTGAGGGGGGTTGGGAACAGAGCAGGAGGGCCATTTGGTCTTTTTTAGGTTTTAACTTTCTACTTGATCCAGCTGATGAATCCCTTACCCTCCATTGCCAGATGCTACATCTTCGTCTCTGTTGCCCCCGAAGGAGCGTATTAGCTACCTTAGCTCCACTGTATAATGGTATTTGGAATTAAATGGTGCTGCCACTCAGTTGATACATGGGTGCCAGATTAAACCTTGGATCCCTTAGAGTGTAATTACGTCTTCAGGTACCCTCTCTGTGTGTTGATTTGGAGCTGGGCTTTGCAGTCTGCCTTGTTACTCACTTGGGTGTTTCCTTGTGGGTTGCAGATTTTGTCATTATGTTCAGACGTTTTAGCTGGGCACGGCTGATCTGCCTAGCTTCTGTCAGAGAAGCTCCTTAAGAAAGAGACAGCTAAGACACAGGTCTGCTGGTAGCACCACACATGGCTGAGTCCTGTGCCACCATCGAGGGTTAAACTGTATCCAGTGGGTTAAACTTTCTGGACAATACCTGAGCTTACAGTCAACACTTGTAGATGTTTCACCTGGATATCTAGGGGGCTCTGATTGGCATAGACTCTATAACTCATTAGTTATTCCAGTTACCCTCTACTCTGTGGGCTCCTGCTCTGACTTGCCTTGTGGTTTTATATTATTTCATATCATAGACAGATAGAGTATTATGCCTGGTACATACTCAGAACTCACCAATAGAGGAAGAGGCTAAATTCTGAGAAAGAAGGACCCTGCAACACCATGCAGATGTACATGGTCATAATTTCCACTATTTGCCCCCCAAAGGGACCTATGACCATTTTTAAGTAACCACAAACTGGAGTTGATTCAAGTATTACAAGGACTGTTGGATAAAGGGTGCATGTTGACACTGATACTGAGACTTAATGGGTCATCAAGGTTACCCATTAGAAGGAGAACATATTGGGGCCACATATTGAATAGAGGTCTGGCCTAGGATCAGCTCAGTGAGACTTGGCTAGTAGGCATTCTCCAATCTTCAGATATATGAATGGAGCACCTATATTTGCAAACAAACAAACAGAAAACACTATATTGCTGACATCACGCTAGTTGGTGCAAGAAGTGGTTAGTATATTAGAGTCCTTAGTAAGACTCATATGCCACAGAGGGTTGGAGATAAACCCTATGAAGATTCAAGGGTCTACTACTTTATTAAAATGTGTAGGTATCTACTGATCGAGGGAATGTCAGATGTTCCTTTCAAATTAAAGAACAAACTCCTGCATCTTAGAATAATTTGAAGGAAGTCTAGCACTTGGTAGGCCTCTTTGGGCTCTCAGAAGCAGTGTATTTCTACTTGGAATACTGCTGTGGCCCATATACCACATGACACAAAAGATGGCCAGTTCTTTATTTTATTTTTTAAAGAGATTTTTTTGCTATAGGTCATGTGCACTCACTGGAGAGACAGATAGAGACCTAGAGACAGAAAGTGAGAAATCACCCCCTGGGGGCCATGGCCACACTGTAATCCCTTCTCCTCCATTCTCCTTTCAGGATTTTGGATATGTACACATACACACCCAGTGTGAGTTTTAAGCCACAGGGTCTGGGACTTGAACTGTAGTCAACTACATGGGAGTCCAGCAACATAATCATTATGCCACCTGCTGGTCCTGATGGCCAGTTCTGAGTAGGCTTCCCAGAAGAAAAGGACTCTAAAGGGGGTCTAGGCTGTGTGAAAGCAGGCTCACCACCAGGCCATTTGATTGAACAGACCCTATTATTAGGGAGTCAGTGGGGAATCATCCTTCAAGAAGCAGTGTACATTCTTTTTTTTTTTGAGAGGTTTTTGCAATAGGGCGCATGCACTTGCCAGAAAGACAGAAAGAGACAGAGAGATAGAAAGCAAGAAATCACCCCCCAGGGAGAATGGCCACGCTGCAGTCCCTTCTCCTCCATTCTCCTCTCGGGATCTTGGGCACATACACACATGCACTGGCATGAGTTTAAGCCACCGAATCCGGGACTCGAACCACGGTCAGCTATATGGGAGTTCAGCGACATAGCCATTACACTAACTGCTGGTCCCAGCAGTGTACATTTTAAATCAATGCTCTTTATATAGTTCTGTGTGCCTAAGAGTAAGAATTTATGGGTCTGAGAGCCAAAGTTCTGAGAAACAGGAGTAGCCCGGTTCAGTAGATCCACTTGGGGAATTTGTGTTTCTGATCTCTGTGATGCTAGGCTCTGGGAATTTAGAGACCCTATTCCCAAAGGGGAATACTTATGCCAGTAGATATGGCAAGAGCCTTACTGAACTATGAGCTATGACTACCACTTGGACATGTTAGGATCTCTGTGTCCAGGGAAGAAGAGGAGTCTTTGTCTTGGCAGGGTGTAATGACTCTACTCACTAGGAAGGGGTATATCTGCGGTTACATATCATGGGAGGGGTGAAGGCACCAGGTTTCCTACTTCGGTACCTCTTCATACTCATTTGTCCAACTTTGATGGTTAATGGAAACATGCACTAACTCCAGCCTGAGAAGTACAAGGGCCTCAGATTCTTCAGGGATGAGGTTGTGGGTAATGCCTCAAGTAAGGTAAGCCATGAGACCTGCAGAAGGGGAGGAAATCTGGACTAAACAGTAAAGAAGGGAGGTCCATAAGCATTACTTGTGTCCCTGGGGCCAGCTGCAATGATGGGAAATGTAGTTCATCCTAGTAACCTTCCTTTTAAAGGTTCTCTCAGGAAGAGAGGCCCATAAGATTCCTAAAGGAGCTGGGACCAGTAGTTGGTGTAATGGCTATGTCGCTGGACTCCCATGTAGTTGACTGTGGTTCGAGTCCTGGACATGGCTTAAACTCATGCCAGGCATGTGTGCGTGCGTGCCCAAGATCCTGAGAGGAGAAAGGATTGTGGTGTGGCCATCCTCCCTGGGGAGTGATTTCTCACTTTCTGTCTCTCTCTGTCTTTATGGTGAGTACATGTGCCCTATAGCAAAAACCTCTCAAAATAAATAGATAAATAAATAAATAAAAAGGATTCCTAAAGGAGCTACTTACAAAACTTATGTGAAAATGTAGATCTGATCAGGTTAATGGGTAGACTATAATAGATGCTAGTTTGCTGTCTTAAAGGTATTAGGTAAAAAAGAAAAAAAATTGTTCTTCATTCTTTTGATAATGAATCTAGACTTCTTTCCCTCATATCCTTGCTTATACCAGTTACATTTTCTATTTTGTGAACTGTTCACTCAGGTCTTTTGTCTCTTTAGCTATTTGGTCTTAGTGGTTTATTAACTTACATAAATGTTTTATCATTTAAAAATATTAACTTTTGGTTAGATTTGTTACAAACATTTTCCCAGTCTTAGTTCTCTTTCTCTCTCTCTTTTTAAAAATTTTCCAAAGGGTTTGTGTGCTCACCAGTGAGAGAGAGAGAGAGAGAGAGAGAGAGAGAGCACCTCCCTCCCCACACACCAGGGGGCACGCTCACACTGCAATCCCTTCTCCATGTCTCCATCCTGGCAGCGTTTGGTACGTGCGCACATGCATCTGGAGTGTTCTTCAAGCTAATAGGCCAGGATTCAAACTGTGATCAACCATGTGGGATCTGGCTCCCTTAACTACCAGCCATGGAATCTGTCCTATGTGTCTCTTATTTAATTTGATTTTTAAAACATTTGTTCTTGTCATTGCATTTCCTTTTTTTTTTTTTTTTTTTTGAGAGAGGGTCTCACTCTGTTGCCCAGGCTGGCCTTTAACTTGTGACCCTCCTGCCTCAGCCTTCCAAGTAGCTAGGGTTACAGGGGTATGCCACTTGCCTGGCACCTTGTCACTGTATTTCTTAGAGAGGGATGATAGCAATGCCAGGGTTCCAGGATGGGGAGGCTGTGAGTAAGTTTTGATGCTGTGGGTTTAGGAAGGGTCCTAGCAGCAGCAGCCTTCCTGAAGTCCTCACTCACTCATGGCCAGTCTACACAATTAGAGCTTGGTACTGATTTCCTGCCATCATCACAACTTCCTGAGGTCTGGAGTTCTAGCCTGAATCTTAGCCCTGTGGACCTGCAGACTCTCAATGGGGGTTCTAGCCCACAAGGCCAGATAGTCAGAACCATTGAGTTCAAGCAGTGTGTGTCATGCTGGGCCATGCTCACCTTAACTCTTTGGACATCACTTGGGCCTGAATAAAGGCTGAATTCACCACTTTCACCACACTGCTTGGTCACCAGGTATTTTGGTACTACTACCTCTCAGGGTTTGCTCAGCGGGGTCTTCTCTTCCCCACTGATCTGTTATCGAGGATCCAGTCTGCCTCTTTTTTGAATGATATCAAGTGAGTCAGTGGCTGTGATTTCCACACACTTACCTAAATTCTGATGTGCTGCCATCAGTCCAAGCATAAAGGTCCTGGCAGGATGTGTTATTGTTTTGTTTGTCTTCATGCCTCCTGAGCCCAATCCAGAAATCACCGTCAGATGCCAAGATGTTTTCAATGAACTTTTCTATAAGTCTCTGTTCATCTTCAGATTCAATGCTGACAAGCTGGCCTCCATCCCTCCTGCAGGCTTCTCTGGCTTCCTCAAAGTTCAGTCTTCGAAAAGCATCATGGAAGTAAATGACTTTATAACAAGGCTTCTGTGTCCCTCCCCGGCAGACAGGCTGCCCTAGAGAAAAAAGAAGCCAACTTGTTTCGGTGTCCAAAAAGGTATACCAGGGTAGGGTTGCTCAGAGCCATCTGAATGAAGCTCTCCCTGGGTGGGAATTCTGATTACTCATCGGTAGACCATTATCATGGCATTTAGGGCTTTCAGAGCAAATTAATGTTCCTCCCAGCATGGAGATGCAGTGACTTAAACTCTGATGCCCATATTGCTTAGGAATGCCATGTTTTGTTTGTTACATTACAGATTCTTGAAAAGCAGATGTTTCTGACTGTCTTTTAAAAGAGAAGCAGATAAAGATTTACTGATTCATTTAAAAGACACAAATAACACTTCCATGCCATTAGGGAGTCTCGGGATAGCAAGTAAAGTGATTTTATCTGTTTGATGGTTTCTTTAGGTACGAGAGGCATTCTCAAGTCAGAGATGGGTTCCTCTATAGGGAAACCCTGTGCTCAGGCAGCAGGACTGAGCGTTGACAGTCTCTGGGTAGGCAGAAGCAAAGAACATCAGATTCCTGGCATTTCCTGCTGCTGATAGTTCCCTGACTGACGGACAACAGTCAAGGTTTATTGACCTCTTTCTATGTGCCATGGACTACTGTGAGGATTTCTACATTTACAGACAACTTTATCTCAGTTAACCCTCATACGATCCCCTCATGTAGCTACCGTTTATGTCCCATTTTACAAATGAGAATACTGAGGCTCAGAGAGACTAAGAAATTTGGCTAAGCTTATACAACTCTCAGCTGCTGGGCCTGAGTCAGGACCCAGACGTAATCATAAAGCTATGCTGATACCGATGAACTATACTGCTGGCTCCCCACTGCACCCCAGGCTCACTTTGTACTGGGAGCCCACGTAATGCGTCTCGTTTGACTGGCACTGCAAGGGCTGAAGGCCACCTTAGACAAATGAATGTGATTCTTCTGAGGAGTGGATACCAAACCGTTCGCCAGTACTTTTTGCGCTAGCTTGTTTTGTTCGAAGCCTTGCTGCAATCAAAACATTAGTTTCATTATTCCTTTGTTCAATCAACATTGAGTGTTCTGAGCCTGACACTGTGCTAGGTGCTGGGAATACAGAAACAAATGCCAGTTCCTAGCCCACAGAAACGTTTTGGCAACCACATGTATAAAAGGAAAAACCACATTTCAATAAAGGGGAGAAGTGCCTTGCACTGAGAGAACCAAACTGTGGGCTATAGGCGTGAATTGCTGCCACCGAGTAGGGGACAGGATTTTGGTGTGTGAACCTCTTCCTAGACCTTCTAGAATATTCTTGTTTCCAACTTGTTTTGCAGCAGGGAACTACATAGCTTTCATTAGTCCCAGTAATGTCCAGAGTATGGAGCAAAAGACTAAAGACAATTCACTACATTATCAGCACAAAATGGGAAAGAG